GGCTTGAATCGTCTGGTCAAGTATGTGGCCGGTGTGAAGCTTTGCGATGTCGAGCATCTGCAGATACATGGTGATCAGGCTAGAGGGCTGGAGGCAGCGCGGCGTCGGATCTACCCACATAGCGTTCGGGTGTCTGACTTCGCTCACATAATCGGCGCCACCAGAAGCGGCCTTCCCAGTCTTACGGACCACATCAAAGTCTGGAGGGCCGGCATCTTCAAGAACGTGAAGTCCAAGCTCAGGCAGAAGCAATACTCGGATCTCGTGGAGTTTGCTGTCTTCACCAGCAGAAGCGCTTCTCCTGGCGCCTTCGCCGTTATCTGGGACGTGGTCTTCGACTTTCTGAAAAGTTTGCAGCCGCCGGAAGACGACGCGATCGAGGCTCTGCAGTCGTACTGGCTGGAGCAGCGCCCCGACCTCCACGGTTACACTGCCTGCTGGAACGTCCATCCTGCACGCGTGCAGCCCGGTTCTGGGTCGGGTAGTCAGGCTCAAGAGAACTGGCACAAGAACAAGTTGAAGGCTGGGGTTGACTTGAAGCAGTGCGTGGATGCCTTTCTGAAGAATCTCACAGACTTTGCCAAGGTGCGAGGCGAAATCTTGCGCAAAAGAGAGAAGCAAATGGTGGATGTTCCCTCCGAACGGTGGGATCGGGAGCTCCTGTCCGGCTCTTTTCTTCCGAAGGAAGGTCGTACCACGACGCTGGAGTACCTCGCCAGACCCTCTGCAGTTTACGAAGTTTCTCGGGCAGACGGTCGTCGGTACTTCTGCATGCGGCGCAGCCTTCGACGTATCGAGGATGGTGACCATTTCGTCTTGCAGGAGCCGGGCGACAAGGACTTCAACGACAAAAAGTGCCGGGCCTTGGCCAACCTGCACTTTTGCGAGACCTTGCAGGAGGCGAAAGCTGCATTGACAGAGTTGAATGCCCCAAATCCCTTGCACAGGGATCCGGAGAGAGTCTTGCGTCTCGTGGCAGCCTATGTTGTGGTGTGCGTCGACATGAACTTCCCTCACCCCTGGTGGCGATCTTCGCACGCAGGCGGCGCAGAACACCGCGTTGGTATGTGTCACTGCAAACACTTTTGTGTTCGGGGGTGCTGCGAGCATCTGTACACGGCCTTGAACTTGTGCGGACTGTTGGACGTGACGATCCCTTGCGAGGCGCCGAAAAAAGGTCTCAGGAAGGGCAGGGCGGAGCCGATGGAGATGCCCAAAAAGAAGGCAAGGCCTCCCAGCAATGCCCCATACGCTCCGCCGTCGGACGGCGCCAGAAGAGCGAAGGCTGCCGGGTCGAAAGCAGCTCCTGCCGCTGGCTACGTGGAGAGCGAGGACAGCCTGCGCGACATGCACAGGGAGTTGAGGAAGTATGCTTACTTCGAGAACAAAGAGAGAGAGAGAGAGGCTTCTCGGGAAAAAAACCCTCGAGTCAGACGACGAAGAGTAGATGCTCTCTTGACGGCGCTTCGGACAAGATTCTCGCCGTGGCCATGTCTGGCGTCCTTGACGTCGCCTTTTTTTTACCGGTCCTTAAGCTTCGTCTTGGACTTTTTTCTATGTCAAATTAGTAATCGTCTCGCCCGACTTTCTTTACGATGTCGCTGGCATATGCATCTCGATGACAGACAGACGAGTGGACTACGCCGCCTGTCTGCTAATTCGCATCTCCTGGCATGCTGGCCGACGTCTTCGCGTGCATTGCAAAAACAAGCCCTTCCTTATTGCTTTCGGCACGTCGCAGCGGTCTGCAGGATAGGCAGTGATGTTGCATTCCAGCATTTCTCGGCTCTAAGTGCGGCTGCGTTCAGCGCCGCGTTCCAGGCCTCGGCTGCTGGCCAGGTCAAGCTTTTCTTCCCCTTTCATTTTATCGGTGTGGACATGGCAAAGCCGAAGCGGCCTGCGGCGAAGGCAGCAGAGAGACCATCCGGCAGGCTGAGGTGTCGCCCCGCCGCGCAGAAGCGGTCTGCTGTCCAGAAGCGACCCGCAGCCCAGAAGCGGAGTCTGGCGCTTCGACATCAAGCAGCAGAACGCAGGAGAGGAAAAGGGAGCGGCCAAAACCAGGATTGCGTCAAGCTCGGTCCTCTGCCGATGAGCGCGATCCGTGACTTGGAGGCTCGGGCGTCTGGCATGCCGACCATGGAGAACTTCAACCAAGACCGTACCTGGGCGCTGTTGCATCAGCGCTTCCTAGAAAAGGACTTCGTGTTTTGTTTCGCTGACGTGGGAGCGGCCCGCGATGTTTTTCGCCTGGTGTCCAGCATCCAATGCATCCGTCTCTGTTTCGACGGCAGTTTCAAGCTGACGAGGAACAACTGCGTTCTGCTCACTGGAGGCATTTTCTCGAAGGAGCTGAAAAAGCACGGCTACATGACTCGCTACCAGGAGCTGGTGTATGCCCTCGTTTCCCAGGAGAGCGAGGAGTGCTACGCGGACATCATGACCGCCTTGAATCGTCTGGTCAGGCACGTGGCGAAGTTGGATCTGTGCGATGTCGAGCACCTGCAAATACATGGAGCCGAGGCCAGAGGGCTGGAGGCCGCGCGGCGTCAGATCTACCCTAACAGCGTTCGGGTGTGTGACTTCGCTTACATGATCGGCGCTAGGAGAAGCAGGCTCCTTCCCTTTCTTTCGGACGACATCCTAATCCGGAGGGCCGGCATATTCGAGAACGTGAAGTCCAAGCTCAGGCAGCAGGACTACCTGCGTCTCGTGGAGTTTGCTGTCTTAAGCAGCAGAACCGCTTCTCCCGGTGCTTTCGCTGCCATTTGGGAGGCGGTCTTGGACTTTCTCGAAAGCTTGCAGCCGCCGGAAACGGAGACGATCCGACTTCTGAAGACGCACTGGCTGGAGGAGCGTGGCTTCGGTCGCGGTTTCAGCGCCTGTTGGAACGTCCATCCTGCCCGCGTGCAGCCCGGTTCCGGGTCGGCGGGGCAGGCTCAAGAGAACTGGCACCGAAACGAGTTGAAGGCTTGCGTATCCTCGAAGCAGAGCGTGGGGGACTTTCTCGCGAACCTGAGAGAGTTTGCTAAGGAGCGAGGGGAAGTCTTGCGCAGCCGCAAGAAACTTCTGGCCGACGTTCCCTCTGAACGGTGGCATCGGGAGCTTCTGTGGGGCTCTGATCTTCCGCGACAAGGTCGTACCACGACGCTGGAGTATCTTTTCAGACCCTCTGCAGTTTGCGAAGTTTCGCGGGGAGACGGTCGTCGGTATTTCTGCATGCGGAGAAGCCTCCGACGTCTCGAGCATGGAGACAACTGGGTCCTGCAGGAGCCGGGCGAGGCAGAGTTCGACGCGGAAAAGTGTCTCGCTTTGGCCAACCTGCACTTTTGCGAGACTCCGCAGGAGGCGAAAGCTGCATTGGTGAGCTTGAACGCTCCAAATCCTTTGCACAGGGATCCGTGGAGAGTCTTGCGTCTCGTGGCAGCCTACGTTGTCGTGTGCGTCGACATGGAGTTCCCTCACCCCTGGTGGCGATCTTCGCATGAAGGTGTTGCAGAACATCGCTTTGGCGTCTGTCATTGCAACCACTTCTGCGTTCGGGGGTGCTGCGAGCATCTCTACACGGCACTTGGCTTGTGCGACAAGTTGAAGCTGCGTGACTTGCACTAGGAGCCGAGGAAGTATGCTGTTTTCGAGAACTTTCTCGGAAAAGAATGTTTTAACGGACACGGCGAAGACCGAAACCTCTCGTCACGGCGCTTCGGAGAAGATTCCTTCCGTGCTCGCGTCTCGCATGCAAAGTTTGCCGTTTGCACGGATCCTGAAGGTTTATCTTGGATTTTCATATATCTCAACCCAGCAATTCTCTTGCCCGAGACGCTTTTCGATGTCGCCGGCACATGCATCTTGACCGCCACAGACGGGTGGTATGCGCCACCTGTCGGTTAATTCGATAGTTCTTGGCATGCCGGCCGATGGCTTCACTTGCATCGGGAAAAAAGGAGCTGCCTTATCTTTATACTGTACCTGGAGATTCCTTTTGCAAGGAATCTCCTGTTGTTTGGATTTGACGAGCTTTATCTGTCGTTTGTAGCATTCCTTGGCGTTCTTAGCGTATTCAACCATTCCTTAGCGTGTTTAACGATTCCTGGTCGAGATGCGCGGGGCCACTAATGATATTGCTCTTGTTCGGGATTGCATAGCTTCCTGGGGCTCTTAAGCATATATTCACCAGCTTGGGGCGATTGGCAGGCCGGCTCAGCCTTTCGATCGGGTAGTGCGGCACATAGAACCCTGCAAGTAGCCGTAAGCAACCCGTACTTGCACAGATCGACTTTGCAAACCCTATACCCTAAACCCCTGCGGCAAAAAAAAACTGGGAGATGTTTTGCATGGTGTCGATCATGCTGCTCGATGCCTCCGCCGCGTGGATCATCGAGGCCCGGAGGGCGGAGTGAAACTGCTTAAGACACGTTTGTAAAGCCCTAGTGCTTTTTGCAAAATGCGAAGCCCGTGCACGGCTGGATGGCAAGTCCTGCCAAGCCTTGCGACTTTGCCTATCAGATCCTCATCCGACCAGCAACTGTAGTCTTAGTTGCTCATGACCGATGCAAGACCGCGTATGAAATAGCTAATACCGACTGCAAGACCAAACCTGTTTGCGATTCAGCAGCTGATTGGATTGATGACATCTTGCCCAGATGCTAGTTCGCATACTAGATGCATGAACTGATGGAGCTTCGGTCGAATATAATACAGCCGTAGCTGTCGTGTTTGCGCAAGGGCTGCCAATTTCACGTAGCCGTCCTACATGGCATGCATATATGTTATTTATAAAACATAAAAGTATACATACATGAAAACTTGAAAAGCCACGGCTCTGCCCAATCTTGCCCATGTTCAGCGAGCTTTACAGCACTCGCAGCAGGCAGCCAAACTCCATGAGAACGAAGTCCACGAAAGAAGCTGTTGATGCAACGGACGGCGTACTGCATTATCGCAAGCTCTGTCGAGCTGCAGTCCTGTGATTGCCGACGGCACAACAAAATTTTGGCACGTACCTAAATCCTTACAGAAAATTTTAGCCGAGTGTCGATGGTCTGCAAAAAATCTTCTAACCAGGCCAATAATACAGCAGTGTCATAGCCCTTCCCACCGTGGCCCTCGGGATAGGAGGTGTTCCTTATAAGGCAGGAAGTTAGGCATGGGCAAGCTACGAGCAAACGGGTTTGCATATATGCTGCTCCAAGATTCTCTTTCATGTCAAATGTAGTTTTCGAGAATCCATCAATACCTGTTGTTTTGCGGTTGTCACTGCACCATTGCCGGAAGGTGCAATATGCGTCGTGCAGCTTCTTGTCAAAGCTGCGTCCCTGCCAGATACCCAGATGCACCAGGAATACAATAGAACTTGTAGCAAAATTCTGGCCGATGCCTTTGATATGGAAAATATGAGCCGAATCTGGAAGGGCACTTTCGGGACCAGCGATACCGGGAATGCTCAATAGCGGTATCTCGACCTCATGAAAAGCACTAGTTGTGCGCGGGATCTCGTTTCTCCAGTTGGCAGTCACAGCTGGATTGTCCCAGTCCTTACCGGCAATAGGAGGGTTTCATCATGGTTATAACACTGGTTGGTCACAGAAGTCGTTGAAGGCTAGCAGCTGTCGCCATGCACAGGTGGCACTTCTCCACACAGTTGAATCCCACTCGCATGTGAAAGGCCTGCACTCACACATTCGAGTAATTGGGCGGTGCTCTTACAGTTCTACATGATCTTGTAGCGAAGGCACTTTTCGTAGGAACACTTGATCTCCTTTTACTCCTATGCAGGCGAAGAAGAGTCGTTGCCCAGAGCCAATCTCAGGGAGCGCCAAACTGCAATCAATTAACATCTTTGGAGCAAATCTTGAATTTAGCCAAGGGGCCGGAATTCCATCAGTGAAGAGGGTCTCGGCATCTTTTGCCAAAGCGTCGTGAATCTCGTCCAGAGTGGTTTCCCCGGAAAATAGCAGAGATGAAATGCTCACGAGCAAGAACCGAGTCTGCATCGAATGCCTGGGATATTCGCATAAAGCAGAAGCCAGACTATTAAACAGGCTTATATGTACACAAGTGCTTTAAATTAAAACGGTATACTGTATACTATGTACACTGTGCCCTGGAACCCGGATTCATTTGTATATGCAGGTCCCCGGTGATTGATAGCCAATTGAAAGGCCTCGATCATGATTGGCTTGTTTCTCAGGAACCGACCTTCATCTCCATGGAGATAGTACGGCACACACAGGTGCCGGGGCTTGGCTTCCCTGAAGATCTCGTGCTCCGGGTTGGTAGTTTCGTACCGACACCAGAAATCGTTCAGCACCTGCTGCCATCTAGAATCCTTCAGGCTGTAGCCACATAGCAAGGTCTGCGGACAAGATTCCAGCAGCACTTTCACCCAATCGTTCATCTTAAGCACTGGCCACCAGACATTCAAATCCGCGGGGCGGCAGTGTCAATCTGGAGGGGGGAGGGGCTAGATTGACACGGGGGGGGCGGTGTCAATCCGCGGGGCGGCAGTGTCAATCTGGAGGGGGGGGGGGGCAGATTGACACGGGGGGGGGGGGTGTCAATCCGCGGGCGGCAGTGTCAATCTGGGGGGGGGGGGTGCGGACAGGCATCATAGCGTTCTGGGCATTGAGCAGTCTTGTCAAGTTGCGAACGGCGTTCGTCTTCGTTTTCCCAGCACGTGCAATCTTGTAAAGAGTGTTGATCTTGTTTCCTCGGCAAACAACAATCGAAGTCTTAATAAAGAATAACCCATGGTATATAATAAAGTTTTCATAGTAGATCGCACGAACAGGAGTAGGAGTTGCAGTGGCACTGGCACTGGCAGGGGCAGGTGCAGCAGCGGCAGCAGGACTAGTACTAGCTAGTACTAGTACTAGTGCGAGTACTAGCACTAGCACTAGTAGTAGTAGTAGTAGTAGTAGTAGTAGTAGTAGTAGTAGTAGTAGTAGTAGTAGTAGATGGCCCTGCCCTGGAACAACCAAAAGGCCTGAACTAAGTAGGTCTTCAGTTTCTAGGAGTCGCGGTTCGAGAGTTTCAGGTTTGTAGTTTAGGGTTTCTGGATAGAGTGCGCACCCTCGCAGCCAAGCATAGGAACAGGCTCAGGACCCCTAATTCCGCACTTCGTGATCGGATAAAACAACCCTATATAAACCCTTTTGAGTGAACCCTAAACTCTAAAACCTCTCTCTCTCTCTCTCCCAGGTATTCGAAACGTCAAGCCCTGAATCCTAAACCCTGAATCCCCGATAAAACACCATATGCCGTGAACTCTTGATCTGCTCCGAACTAATGTGTATGGGAGTTTCCGAAAATAGGGAACCCAAATCTAGTACCCTAATTAATACGATCCTTATTATAAGGACCCCAAAATAAGGTACCCCCAATTTTCGGAAACTCCCATATGGGCTTCGGGGTTTACCGGCTGGGGATGTAGGTGGGGATATGCAAAGAACTATTGCGGGAGTATAAATCAAATATGCACAACACAACCTGCCCCACCAGTTCTCTTACAGGTGCATGCGGCCGCCTTGAAGATTTCAGGGATCACATACACATTCATTCATGCATGCATATAGGTGTCGGCAAACAGATCCAGCACTATATAGGGTTGCGAGTTTACAGCGTCTTTCAGTGCCGAAGTCCCGACCCTATACGATATCGCAGACAAAGTTCGCTCCTATTGAATTAGATTTATAAATAGTAATCACGATTGCCACATGCATGACATTTCATGCACCCACTCGGCCGATCGCAACCATCCGTTCATTCTCAGATCGCCATGCCGCGGGAAGGGTTCCTGCATTCTTGATGCTCTGGCGTCGTAGAGTCAGGTTGACAAAGACGATATTCGAGCTAGCCAATTATTCAAATCGTCAATCCCAGATTGTGGCATCCGGTCGCATGCAAAAGCCTCCGAAGCAGATTAATTCGCCATTTGCCAGTGCTGGCTTGTTGGAATCAATTGATTCCGGCAAGAGTCGTATCCCTGCTCTCGCTTTTTGCCGCCCGGCCCTATACACGATCTCCCTCACCCTCTCCCTCTGTTTGTATCTCTCTCTCTCTCTCTCTCAGTCTCTCTCTCTCTCTCTCTCTCTCCCCTCTCCCTCCGATCTAACTCAAGTTCTCACATATGGAACCTTGAAAATTCAAGTTCTCCCCATATATATATATATATATGGCAGGAAAGCCTGATTGCAGCATCCTATCTCTTTCATACATGCACTGTCGCGAATCCCGTTATTCTGCTTTCATTTGCCCCACTCTCGCCATCTCTATTCACCCGCTTACTGCTGCATGTATACTGAAAGGGGTTGCCGAAAGCAGGCTTTCCACATAAGCGGGGTTGTTGCCGAAAACCAGGCTTCCGGGTTTCATCACATGGTCTGCTTTTTATGATTTCGAGATTTCGTTTAAGGTTTAGGACTTAAAGCGCTAAGGGTTATACGAGGGTATCTATATTACATATATACAAATATATAAATACTTGGGCTTCGGGATCTCCGGCCAATATTGCGGAGTAGCTAGCGGTATTGATTCCGCCGCTGGGGATTGGAAGTTTAGGCAGCCTACGGATCAGCTATTATACCCATATTAATTCCAAAATCCCTGGAGCCCTAAGCGCTGTAGGCCCAAACCCCAAACCCCAAGTGACATAATGCAGGCCCAAAAGAGAAGTATGGATCGTGACGATGTTACCGAATCCTCTAGCAAGAAAAACTTAGCATAAAATTGCACCATGAAATAAACCAGCATTGCATTTACCATGTAGCTGTTGCCACCAGGGCACGACTCTTGCGACCTCGACAAATCATACCGGCAATCTTGCAAGTTCGCTTCGCCGTTTCGGCCTGGGAGCTTTGGGGGCTTACTATGGCAGGGTCTTAGATCATTTTGTGTTTGGGGATGCATAGCCTATATACTGTAAGCCCTGACGAACCCTAATAAACTCGCGAGCCACGAAGCAATTGCTTCCAAGCAGCGCCACTGAGATAGTCAAACATAAGCTCAGCAGCCAGGTCGCTGGATTCCGATCCGGATTCGTCATCCATCAATTCTCTGGGCCGGACCCCTGGTCTGAGACATATACAGGGTTGCGTAGCTGTGAGGGCATGCACACATTTTGGTCCATGCCTTGCCTGTATAGCAGGACATGACATCATGTTGAGCATCCAGACCTGGCATTATGAGTAGAGATCGATGGATGATCCAACCAAACGAGATGTCCCATGCAGGGCTGAACTCTCCTGATCTGGTAGCTCAGATAAGGTTCGATTTTTAACCGGATGCAGCAACAGTAAGAGCCTCTTGTCGGCTCTACTTACTCAATAGATTTGCTCGGAAGTGGTTATAGCAAGCATAACTACGACTTCGAAGTGTGTACACAATGGTCGGCAAGCAGTCTCACTCGAATCCTCAGTCAGGTTTGCGCCATAACCTGCTTGCATATAGCACATTCTTGGCTGGATCGATGTCGTCTCTTGCATGATGTGCACACACCCACACACACATACTCCGATGCACACAGCCTCAAGCCTGCTCTGCATCAGGTATGCACCGTCTGAAACACCTGCCGGAGAAGAAGAGGCGAGGGGGTTTCAGTGAGTCTATCATGAGGCAGTCGGAGCATACCCATTTTCGGCAATTCGCACGGTTGCTTGACCTGTCAGAAGTTGATACAAAATTAAGGGCCTCCCCAGGAGCTCGCACAGACCCCACGTGTACAAAGTACCTGCTAGATATCTATAGCTGCCTCATTCCATCGAGCCTCCTAGGTAAGGCCAACCCCATCCAAATTGGGATGTATTGCGTGACACATCCTTCGATCATGTATGCTCAGCAGCGGTACACAATCTCAGCTGCGGCGTTTCTTGCCACCCGACTTGGCCATCACTGCCTTCCTTTTGTGCCTGGGGGCCGCCACCGCAGCACCTGGGTTCTTCTCCCCTTTGCTCTTCTTGTCCTTGTTCTTGTTCTTCTTGTTTGCCTTGCTCGGCTTCGCCTTGTTACCCTGGTGTTTCTTGCCTGCCTTAGGCCGCTCCATTTTATCCACGTCCTTCGATGCCTTCTTCGGAGGCTTCAAGGACCTGTGGCAGCTTGCAAGGATTAGCAGAAGCCCCCTGCCCATATAAGTTACAACAACAAGCCCTGCACGAGCTTGCATGCAATCGAATCGCCTTGCCCTTGAGCTTTGGTTGTTCAGGGCAATATCGCAACGTGTGGCTTTCGCGAAAAGCTTCAGCAGGGCTTCCTTCGCGGTCCTGTGTGCAGAGAACTATTGAGACAAGAACCATCGCATCGTCTGATGATAGATAGAAGCTGAGACCCTGACTGATCCGGGACGTCGCCATAGGCCGCTTCCTGCTGGGCAATGAGCTCATTGTACACACCGTCCATATCATGGATCTTCTTCTGCATATCCTCCGCCATCCTTTCCAAAAGCACACCCATATCATTATCAGCAGAAGCAAGACGACAGGAGGCCAAATCAAGTCAAGACAACGATGATATCATACATGGTCGGTCTTGTCAGCTCGCGGAACACCGTAATTTTCGATTTTGTCCTGAGGGCAGACAGGGTTCAGGACTATTGCTTGTTGGGGTGTCCTACCAAGCAAGGAGCCTTCAGCTCGTCAGCTTTATCGATCTTTTTGCCAATGATG